AGAAAAATCAGTTCCAAGGGCCTGTAATGATGTAGAGGCCCACACACATCGTGTGTGTGTGAGGAGAGATGCCAAGAGTCCGGGAGTATTGAGAAGTGTGCGGATTTATTAAAAAGCTTTCTAAAGTCCAGGGCCTAAACTCGGTGTGCATTGGGTGCAGGAGGAGCTTCATGGCAGATTCTAAATATTCTCCATTGTCAGAACCGCCAGGCACACCCCAGCCTGAGCGAATCAGTCTCTGGCAGTGGTATGTGGGCTGTCCAGGTTGGCTGGCACTGGGTAACGGGAGGGCCAGCAGGCGTTGGCCGCATTCTGAAGGCTGTGAGCGCATCTGCTCTGGACCACGCCTCCAGCTCCTGGGGGTCGCTGGCCATCGTTGGCATTACTTAGCTTGTGGGATCCTCCCATCATGTCCTCTCCCTGTGAGTGTTTCCATACCAAAACCCCCTCTTCCTAAGCACTTGGTACCTATCATGTCATAACAGAAGGACAGGTCCAGTTAAGGTCACCTGCTGAGGCAGGTGAGTGAACAGTGAGGGGGGCGTAGTTCAAGAAGTAGGGTTGGGGAATTGTGTGTGTGTTTCCCCATAACTCCTTGGGCAATCCGATAACCAGCCAGGTCTTGTGTGTTCCGTGTGAGAGTCGAACTTGCCTGCCTTTGGTAGCACGTTGGGCATCTTTGTGCCTTTTTGTGTTGGAGCCTCATCAGTCACCAGTGTAAGCAACGTGACTATGCATGAGACAATGTTGTAATGGCCCCTTGTACCGTGTGGAATCTGCTGTCACCTCCATCTTGAACTTCTCAGCCTCTTTAACCCATCTGGTTGAGTCATCTCCCTGTCTTTCGGTGGTGGCTGCTGGCATGGACTGGAACTGTGCTGGGTTCTGTGGCCTCTTCCAGAAACCCCCTGAACCACTCAGAAAGCAGTTGAGCTGAACACAGTGTACCTGCTAGGATGGGACCACGTGTTTCATATCTAGGTCAATGCTCGTGGAGTTGGGCATAGAATGCCACATCATGTTAATAGTCATTCCTGACCATCCTGTGCACCTGCCAGCTCTCCCGTGGTCATCCGAGTAGTGTCTTCTGTGCTCTTGAACACATTATCAGGAGTCTCTGCCAGGCTGAATACGTGTGCTGCTGTGGAATGCTTCTCCTAGTTTGTAACCTTTTGATTGAGATACTTGTTCATTATCATGCACAAATATTGTTGTAAGTTGATGAACTTCTCATCGATATGTACATATGTAATGCCATATAACCACCATGCTGAGCAATAAAGTGTTTGCAGCTCCATGGAAGGTTCGTGGTGTCTTTTCCTAGTCAATAACTGAAGGGATTCTTTCTTTCTCACGTAGTTTTGTTCTTGAACTCTGTGCACTGCATACACTGTGTTGCTAGCTGTGTGGTTCACATCAGGGAGGCCAGCCGTGTTTTGACGTGTATTGGTGGTTAATTTGCCATTTATTATTGCCAGATAATGATCAGTCCATTATAGGAATGTCTCGGTTTATAGATCCACTCTCCTACCAAGAAATCCTTGAGTTTTCCCCCAATTTTGCTCTTTCGGATGACTCTTCCATGGCCATTTCTGCTCATCTTTCCATCCTTTCTGGATGTAGCCCTGAGAGTGTGGTTGCTGACCAGCAGGTAGATGTCTGTGGAGCTCTAACAGTTCCTTTGTTCAAAACAATTTTCAAAGGGATTAGACCAGTTCATGCTCTCTGCAGCCCGGGTAAAATCTCTCATGGCTGTATTTCCTCCCCAAAGCTTGTTAATGCCAGTCACGGCAGTTTAGCCAGTGGACACACAGTGCTAACTTCCTGTGGGTTCATTTGCAGTTAATGTCATGATAAAGGTTTTGAATGCTTTTCCATTAAGTATATGCCTTTTTTTTTAAAGAAAAAATTATTTATTTTTACTGGAAAGGCAAATTTGCAAAGAGAAGAAAATACAGAGAGAAGGATCTTCCATCTGCTGGTTCACTTCCCAACTGGCCACAATGGCCGGAGCTGAGCCCGTCCAAAGCCCAGGAGCCTGGAGCTTCTTCTGGGTCTCACACATGTGAGTGCAAGGTTCCAAGGCTTTGGGCAGTTACAGTCCTAGATTGCTTTTCCAGGCCACAAGCAGAGAGTTGAATGGAAAGTGGGGCAGCTGGGATGTGAATTGGCACTCATATGGGATCCCTGTGCATGTAAGGTGAGGATTTAGCCATTAGGCTATCATCCCGGGCCCCAAGAATGTCATCTTTTTAGAATGGCCTTGTATATCTTCGTCCCATGTTTAATTTGGCCTTTTGACGAAGTTACTAGAAGTTTCTGTCATGTTTATTGTGAATTCTCTATCGAATCTCCCTACTGCAAATATTACTGTATATCTTCCTTTTCATTCTCTTCATGTTGTCGTTTTGTAAAGAGAAATTCTTAATTTCAATGAAACTTAATTTGTAACTGTTTCCATTTAAGGGAAGTGTTTTAGTACTGTAGTTACTTATACTTTTTTATCTCATTGTTCTAGATGCTTCAGTAGAGTAGTGCTAAATTCAGTTGTCGCTGCATCATGCTTAGCTCCTGGCATCTTAAATGAAATCTGATATTTCAAGTGTAATATGATGTATTAGATGTCTTTGAATGCAAATTGAGCTCTGTATGTGTTGCTGTTGCTCTTTCTAATGAAAATATAAACCCAGTTAGAATCACTATAGCTCGAGAATACATATTGTGCTGTGTATATTCAAAAAATAATAGTTGAAAAACGAATGATAATGATGGATTACAAAGGCGGCCTTAGATAATATTGATCATCCTAAGAAGTAGTGTATGTACTAAGTATGTGTACATAACGCACTCACTGAAGTGTCCTTACAGAATATTGCTTTCAACCCTTGGTGCACTTTCATCTTTATATTTGAAAAGCTTTAGAATGGAAATTAAGGACTTAGGGAACTACAGAGAGAATATCTGCCCAGGAGTCAGATTTTGACATTTTTGATATTTCTCTAATTTCTCTCGTAGTTTTTTCCATAATTCATTTTTAGAGTTCTCTCAAGAAAATTCTTGGATTTTACTCCATTCATCAAAGCTGTATGAGCTACTAGTATTGAACTTTATTTGTACAACTGCCACGACGTTATCAACATGCAGTGGAATTAACGCTTTCTAAAATCAGCCACAGGGGCTGTACTTACCTAGCCTATCTACTGCAAAGTTGTGTCATGTCCTGCTGGATTCTTGAGATCCTTAAGCCTCTGCTATCCAGATCAATGAAGTGCAAGTTCGTGGTGCAGTACGATTTGTGCCCATGAACTCTGCTCCTATAGGGAAAAAGACAGCTGCCTTCTCCTTTGCATCTGTCATTCTTCACTCTCTTCCATGACGTTACATTTATAACTTATATGTGCATATGTACACAGGCATTACATTAGGAAAATACTTAAAAACAAAGCCCTGTGGGATTATTTGTTCTTATCGGTGGTGTTTTCCCTGGACTACTGGCTAATTTAAGTCAATTTATTTGATGAATTTGTTTCCACATTGTTTCATATGACTTTGATACTGCCATCAAAATGTTGACTATCATCAAGATTAAAAAATGGTTTATGATATTTCAACTGATGTACGCCCTGCAGTTTTTGATGCTGTAATAGCACTTCACTAAATGGTGTGATTGACAAATGCATCATAAGAAACAAAATTTTTCTTGTTATATCTTCCTTTATAGAAAGCAAGCTTAATATTTTGTGTTTTAAATACAATTTTTTGTAGGAGTTACAACAAAACTTCCAAATAAGTATTCTGGGTGTATCTCTTGATTAATCATACTTGTGCTTATTGCATGTTTTTTTAGAAACAAAATGTCTATATCTATTTTTTCCCGATTCTCCATTTATGCTTAACTGTTATTCTGATAGGATCTCCAATATGTTTATTTTTGTTTTAGGATGTTATTCATCTGTTGGTTTTATAGCTGTGATTCCTCTCAAGTATTACGTGTTTCTTTTAGCCTTCATGTATTCTGAACCAGAATTTGTTTCATATTCAACACAAATGAATGAAAGTGTAACTGTATTAAGTCACATGAGAAATTAGTTCACATTTGTACAATAATTATTTTATGGAGGATTCTGTGTGACCGATAGCTTCCACTTATTGCTTACATTTCATGCTGCCAATTCGGGTAAGTAGATAGGCAGATATTGTAATGCCTTTTATTTGGTGATTTGTAATCTGTTTTTATTTATTTAAACATCTGAGAGACAGAGAGAGAGGTACAGAGTGGGAGAGATCTGCTCTCCTGCTCATCCCCCAGACACACCCCGACAGGGAAGCGGGGCGAGGGTGAAGCTCCAAGCTGCTGCACCTGCCAGGTCTCCCGTGTGAGTGGCTGGGGTCCTTGCACTTGAGCCATGTCATGCCACCTCGCGGAGTACACAGTCGCGGGAAGACAGACCCCTGCCACGGGTGTAAGATTAGCAATGGTCTCGAAGATGTTGTTTTTTGGTCCAATGTACCATTTTACCTGGACCTGTTCCTGGAGTTTTTCAGTCCTATAAATTCCATTCCATAAAATGATCGCTTCCTAGACATCTGTGATATTTTTCTTCCAATAATGCTTAGCATTGTACTTCAGTCTTCAGTGGATTGGTGCGTGATCGGTTGTGTTTTTGTGGTGTAGTCATTGGAAATCTCGGACATGTTTTCAAAACTTTCTGTAGACTGAGCTGCTAGCGTTGTTACTATCAGCTAAGCAAATGGCAGGTGATTCAGTTCCATTTAAGTAGCAGTTGAAACTATACTTTCTGAATTTCACGAAAGAAGAAAAGCAGTGTAGAGAATTTTCCACGAGCTTTACACCACGGAAAATGATCAAATGTGATTTTTTTACGTAAGGGTGTTAGACAGAACGTTAATGGAAATTTCGGCAAGCTCTATGAAACAGAGTACCGTGGTTAATGCCAACTGCATTTAATGCTGGGGGGAACTTTTCTCTTGTTTCCTAGTGGCTTTTCATGGCCTCCCACTGAAAATCAAGAAGGAACCTCACAGCCCGTGTTCAGAACTCGGCTCTGCCTGCAGTCAAGAACAGCCCTTCAAGTTCAGCTATGGAGAAAAGTGCCTGTATAATATCAGGTAAGGCAACCGGATGTTTGTGTGGGAGGTAGGACTGGAAAGCTCCCCCCCTCCACCACACACACCCCAAAATCAAAACCAAAACTCCAGAATATAGACAATTCTCATTGTAATTTGTGAGCAGCATCTTCCCTGTGTGACGGGTTAATTAGATAATGTGATGAAGAAGAAAGTTCTGCGGGCATGTTTTGCCACCGAGTCACCCACTTAGCCTCGCTTAAAAGCAGTAGTTTTCATCTAAGTTGCTTTTTCTCCTGGAGATGCATCTTGGGTTTGAAAAGAGGGTCTTACTTGGCACAAGCAGCCTTTGAAAGTTCCCATTAGAATGAATGCATTATGCACTTGAGACAGAGAGTTTGTAGGATTAAAAAAAAAAAAGAAGAAGGAAACATTTGGCATCTGAGCGGAGTACATTAGTCATCCGACAGGCTTGCGGATGATCTATAAGATGCATTCATGGATAGTTGCAATACAACTCGAATTTGATCAGGCTTAGCAGAGGCTATTATCTATTAAGAAGCCAGTTGTTCCTGTGATGATGATAAAGGCTGGTGCAATGAAAGTACATCGCTCCTTTGCAAATTTGGTAACACGTGTGTTCATTATGAACTCTTGGCCGTAAACTGCAGGCTCTCGCTATTCCTCTTGGGCTCAAACAGCGTAAAGCAAAAAGCTGGCTCTGTCTATAGAGCAGTCTTACCCTGCCTTCCTGTAGGAACTCAGTTCTTATAAGAAGCTAGTTTGGAAACTTTTAAAACAAAAATGATTGTGGGTGCTAGTACTGTTTGATCGCAGCTCAGGCTCCTGTAACGTTCTGGCCCAGAGCTCTGCTTGTCTCTTCGCATCTCTGAGGCTTAAGATTGAAGAAGCTTTGCTTTATGCCATCTCTGGCTGACCAGTGCTTGAGCACTCTTGTGGCTGGGTGCTCCTGGCAAGGTGCCCTGTGTGCCTGTTGCTCTCTGTGGATCACCAGAACCTGAACCTGAGGGACAGCTCAGCTGAAATCACACTGCTGTGACCACAGACCCCTTGTTGACGCTACAGATGCAAACCAAGTTCAGACAATGAGATATCGATCGGGCTGATTTTATTTTACAGTTTAGGCTTCTGCTTTGTATTTTTTTTTCCCCTTAAGGTACTGTGTTTTCATGGCATTGTTATGTAACGTATTAAAGAACTTTTAATCCATAAGCCAGCGAGGTGGTAGAATTGTCGCTGCTTGTCAGCATTGATCCGCTTCTGACTGTGAAATCACACATGTTTAGAAGATCTTTCTTTAATCTGCAGCAAAGCCTGCAGGTTTTGAGGTGTTTTTTTGCTGGTTGGGGGGGGGTGGGAGACCAGTCATTCCTATGGTGATACATGGCAAATGCTTAAAATCGAGTACTTCCATACTAGGAAAAGCATACAGTTGAATGCCAAGTTTCTTGGGGAGTAATGCTAACATCTCAACGGGCTCTCCTCCTTCCCCTGCCGTAGGGTTGAATCAGAGGGATCATTTTATTGAAGAAATGGGCTTTTAGTGAAAAGTACTGACAAAGAATTTCAGAAGGACCGAACCTAAGGCTTTCCATGTTGAGTGCCACTGACTTTAAAATGAACGTCAATTTAGGCCGCACGCACTGCTTCGCTTCAGTAAAGTGCAAACCCGAGGGCCATTCTGTCACACTGATAGGAATGAAGTTTGCCACAAGATGACCCAGGAACAGGTCAAGGCAAAAATGTGTATTGAAGGATGCTTTTTGTTTTAGGATTAGAACACATTTTTAATTAGATGTGTTCTTTTCAGACGGTAAGTCAGATTCGTTTGTAATAAATATTTCTTGGATAATGACAACAACCAAGTGAAGTCAGGTTCCTCAGAGCTACACACAGGAAAACAGTTTACATTCATAATAATCAACTGTGTTCCTTTCTGTTCTTTTGTATTTGTCTTTGAAAGTTAGGCTCAGAGAGGAGGACTTCACTCTTTATAACTTTGAGTAGTCATTCCTATACTCCAGGAATTTTAAACATATTGGACCTGTTAATGAACCTCATTAATCTTCATTATCTCTTGTGGGGAAGTTAGTGCCACATATCATTTGTTTAATATAACGAGAACGTTATGGCAAAAACATTTTTAAAATTCTACCAGGGCCCAGCACAATAGTGTAATGGTTAAAGTCCTCTCCTTGAATGTGCCGGGATCCTATATGGGCACCTGTTCTAATCCTGGCAGTCCAGCTTCCCATCCAGCTCCCTGCCTGTGGCCTGGAAAAGCAGACAAGGATGGCCCAAAGCCTTGGGACCCCGCACCCATGTGGGAGACCTGGAGGAAATTCCCGGCTCCTGGCTTTGGATTGGTGCAGAACTGACCATAGCAATCACTTGGAGAGTGAATCATTGGACAGAAGATCTTCCTCTCTGTCTCTCCTCCTTTCTGTATATCTGACTTGGCAATAAAAATAAATAAATCTTTTTAATAAAATTTTACCATCGGTGATGGTAAGTCAGCAGTAGTCGCCATCTTAGGAAGCTGGTAGTACTTATTTTAAAACATGGTATTTGTAGGAGAATCCTTATAAGTTTTAGAAGCCTATGAAACCTGCTCCAAAGGAATGTTCTAGAGTGATGGAAAGAGTCCCATGGTACCTCTTGATGGCAAGCTGCCTCGGAGTCAATTGTTTTATGTATTCAAAAAGAAACCTGCTTTTAGGTGTATGCTGATCCTAGGTGGTACACGAACTGTCCTGCTTTCCTCTTTCCATGCGTGGGGACTTTGAAGGTCAGGTGCTCCAAAGGACCTCTTGGCTTTTGTCCCCCGGCAGTGCCTATGATCAGAAGCCACAAGTGGGAATGAGGCCCTCCAATCCCCCGACGCCCTGCAGCACGCCCGTGTCCCCACTGCACCATGCCTCCCCCAGCGCAGCTCACACTCCGAAGCCTGACCGAGCCTTTCCGGCGCACCTCCCTCCATCGCAGCCCGTGCCAGAGAACAGCTACCCCATGGACCACAGGTGAGGCGCACATGCGCTGCTTTCCGGGCTGTCGCTAGCATTGTTAAAACGGGCGCCTCTGACCAGTCCTTGTGAGCGTATTAATTTTGCACATCTGTGCAAAGTAGTTTTAGAAAGAGCTCGCTCCGTGTGTACTTATAAATAACTGTTGGAAAAGGTCATTTATAAACATCCCTTTTATAAACATTTAAATCGGTTGCTAAAATGGAAAATTAATCTATATACTGACATTTGAACACTTCCTTTCACTTTGCTTGAATTAAATTGCTTCACTTAAACTTTAAAGCAGAGCATCCCATTTTTCATGAGCATATGTGTGTACTTGTTCTGGAAAGTGAGGAGACTAATTTTAGTAGGTGGCTTATGGAATTAGGTCCTTTACCTTAGACTGCTGATTTCGCTAAACATAGTTTTTGCAGGATAAAGTTAATTTGATTAAAACTGTTTGCTATCTTTTCTGAGTGATGCATATTTAATGCCCCGAGGCATGTGTCCCTGGGCACTGAGAAGAAGCAGAGTTTAGACTGACTTGGTGTCACTGAGTCAGGCACAGGCCCGGAGCGAGGGAGCCTGTTCGGGTATGTGACCCGAAACTCCTAGAAAGGAAGGAGGATGGAGTTCACATCCCAGTGTAACAGAAGTCCCCAGACACTGCCAGGATCGGCAGCTTAAAGAACAAGTTGATAATATACAACATCTACCTTTCTCCCCTCAACTCTGGCATTTCCTGGCACATGTTGCCCCATAGAGCGCGTGGCGGAAGTAGTGTATAAGGCTTGGTCAGGAATGTTTTGCCCACTCTGTCTTGTATGTGCCACTCCCGGGATTCCTCACGGTGACAGCCCCCGAAGACACTGTTGGCAACAGGTGTGCACAGTGTTTCTCCTGCAGATGCGGTGGACAAGGATCCCTTTGGGCTCATTAGGAGTGGGCTTCGGGGCGAGGTTAAGCCCTAGCTTGGGATACCTGCATCCCTTATCAGAATGCTGAAGCGAGTCTGGCTGCTTCAGTGAGCTGACTCCTTGTTCACGTATTGAAGGGGCAAAGGCTGGCTCTGGGCTCCGAGTCCCTTCCGCCCATGCGGGAGAGCCCGGTGGAGTTCCTGGCTCCTGGCCTGGCCCTGGCGCAGGCCCAGCTCTCAGTGGCCAGCTGAGGATTGCACCATCATCAGGAGAAAGATGGATCTGTCTGCCTCTCTTTCTCTTTGTCACTCTCCGTGTCAAGTAAATTCTTTTTTTTTTTTTTTTAAGAAAGACTGTTTAGTAGTGAAATGTAACAAAATATCTAGAAGTGAAGGACTTTGGGTTACTGCTTTAAATTTCTTAGGTGTTTTTCCAGAGTTTGCAGGGGCTGGATTCCAGATTGCTTGTACACATGACAAACCGCCTCTGACACAGATCAGAATAACTCAGCTGAAGAACTCTCCAGAAGGACAGAGGGGAGTGAAGATGTGCCACTGGCAACTTTTCTGGAAATCTAGGGGGGCACTCTGGCATTGTGTAGGTCCTTCACTGGGACTCATTCTCAAGTCCTCATTGACTCCCAAGGGGATAAAGAGATAGGATGGAAGCCTTCTTTGCGGGACCAGGAAGCCAGGCTGTGGCTTCTCTACCTTTCTTTCCATCCCAGGTCCTTCCTCAGCCCTTCCCATCCTCTCAGCCTTTTCATCCATGGCCCCGAGACATTGTCAGAGCAGGACGGCTGTGCATCTGTGTAAACAGCTTTGGAAACAGATGAAAGAATGTGCTGCAGGGTGGGCCAGCCCGCAGGTGCACATTGTCTCAGGCAGACAGGGAGAAAGATGGTGCACACACCCCAGCCCGTTTCATTCCGTCCACTTCTGATGACTTCCCAGAGTTCAAGGTCACAGAGCCTCCCGGGAGGGAGCGCCAGTGCTGCCTGGCTTTGTCCTCTGCTGCAGACCCATTCCTTCCCAGAGAAGGAGCCCTCTGAAGAAGCTGTAGGTCTGGGTTTCAGATGACCTAACTAGAGAATGCTTTAGCTGAATCCATTTTCATTCCTCGGCTTGAAGGCCAGTATTTGAGACTGAGAACAGCCGGCCCGGAACTGGAAAAGGGAAGCCCCGGGGTCCTCTCCTGCAGCCCCCAACTGCGATTTGAGGACAGGACCAGCTGGCGTGTCCTGGAAAATGCTCAGATGCCGTATGTTTCAGGGCAGGATTTCGTAGAGGCCAACACCTGACAGTCCATGGGCTATTTATGGCAGCTTGGCTGCAGGCCCTGGTCCCTTCCCCAGAGTGCACCCTCCTCCGGCCCAGGCACCCCACCTCTCTCTGGGAATGCTTCAGCTGGCCCGCTCCCCGCTTCCTTTCTCGGCTGCACTGGTCTCCTCAGGCCAGCCCTTTGGCATCTGCGGCTGAACCCACTGTGCAGGAACCCTGGGTCTTTTTGCTTCCTGCCCATTTCCCACCCACCTACAGCCTGCTTTTCTCTGTCCTGGTCTCTCCAAGTCTGCTGTCTTACTCAGCCACGCTCTGCCCATTGCATCTTGAGCTGCTTTCGCTCTGCCACGCATCGAGGGCTTAGCAGGGTGGCACTCCTGGCAGAAGTGTGTGTTTACCCTGCCACTGTGCCCCAGCAAGTACCAACTGCAAGATCCAAACGCCCCCATCCCTCACCCGGCTGTCAGTTGCAGCGTTCATCACTTCCTTTTAAGGCTCCCCGAGGAAGCCCACTTCTTATTTTAACTTCAGATGAGGGTTTTCCCATTCACTCCTTGACATGCTTGATGCTCGTTCATTTCTTTTTTGGGTTGGTGAAGTAAGCAGGAGGGGGAACACAGAGATGGCATCGCGCTCCTCCCCGTGCTGTGTGGAACCCGCAGCTGTGACAGCCAGGGAACCCACAGTGGCAAGTCTCTAGAATGGGGTGTTCTTAGAAAGGCCTGCTCACGATTCCCAGGCAACATTACCAGAATGCAATGCCAAGTTTCCAACTTAAAGACTCCGGAATGCTTTCAACGGGAGGGTTAATAGGGTTATAGTTGCTCCTACAAATGCTTTGCTGGTTAATTTTAAGCACACTGGGAGCATTTTTAGAGCACTTTGAAATCTTTAATTAATCTACCTCTTTGTGGTGGGTCAACGAGCTTATGGAGAAGAAACCCAGACAAGAGTGCTTCTGTGAGGAGCCGGGCGTTTGAACGGGCAGGTGCGCCTCAGCTCAGCCCTGGCCATGTGCTCGGATCCTGCTTGGAGATCAGCATTTTCCTGCCTGGGAACCTGTGCAGACCACATGATGCTGGCATGTTGCTTTCCTCCGTTGAGAGCGGCTGTGTGTTTTTGCTCAATATCAGCCTGCTATCTTGCATCTATTTTAGTTTTAGTCTTATGGATTTATTTGAAAGGGAAAGTTACAGAGAGAGAGAGAGATCTTCCATGCGATTCCCTCTGCAGATGGCTGCACTGGTCAGGGCTGAACCAGCCAAAGCCAGGAGTCAGGAGCTTCAACCAGGGGCTATTCCACGGGGGTGGCATGGAGCCAAGCACTTGGGCTATCCTCCACCCCTGCCTTTCCAGGCACTTGAACAGGGAGCTGGGTGGGAAGCGGAGCTGTTGGAACATGAACCGTATGGGGTTCCACTTTTGGCAGGAAGCAGCTTTACGGCAATGACCAGGATAGAGCCAGGCTGAACTCTGTCGGGGGGTTCCAGGTACCTGACCCCACTGCCTCCTGCCTCCCATACGTAGGTTAACAGGAATCACCAGGATGCAGGAATCACCAGGATGCGTGAAGCAACCACTGTAATGTGGGTTGCAGGTGACTTAACCCCTGTACAGAGGCTGCCCCAGCCGTGCCTCACTTACTGCCTTAGTAACTGGTGATAACAGAAGGAAGATCTGTAAGCAGGTTTTGGGTTCTTGCACATGCTTGTCAAGTAGTTTGATAACATCCCAAAGTGGGATCGTTTGGGGTTGTCACCCAGCGCTACAGACATGAGCAAGAGAAACTGAGCACGGACTAAAACATCTCCTCTTCGGGCCGGTTGGCGTCCTGCTCATTGACTAGGTGGTTAAACGTCAGTCCAGTATCGTAAGAGACCAGGCTGTGTTACCGTTTGGCCCCTAACCCTCTCCTTTCCTCTAGGTTTCGCCGGCAGCTTTCCGAGCCCTGTAATTCCTTTCCTCCGTTGCCCACCATGCCGCGGGAAGGACGTCCCATGTACCAACGGCAGATGTCTGAGCCCAACATCCCCTTCCCGCCACAAGGCTTTAAGCAGGAGTTCCATGACCCCGTGTATGAACACAGCGCCCTGGTTGGTGGCGCGGCCAGCCAGAGCTTCCCGCCTCCCCTGATGATCAAACAGGAGCCCAGAGATTTCGCCTATGACTCAGGTAGGCCCACACGGTGGTGGCGCTTTCGCGTTTATGGCCATTTCTCATGTCCCTTCTCGCTGTGGTTCCTGGGGTTGTCCTACTGGTCGAGTCCTGCCCATGCGTGGTAAGGTGTTTGATCCTTTCTTTGTTTTGTCATGTACATAGCAAGGGCTGGTTTATTGGTGAGTTGGGCTTGAGCTGATGGACAAAATAGTATCTGAAAATGAAATTTTTTTTCCCAAAGAAAATCAATATACACATTTTAAAATAAAACGGTTTAAAGAAAAGCTCATTTTATAACATTACATTCTCAACGTTAGAGCACCATTGCCATTTTTTGTTTCTGCATCTAATGCTTCTTTTAAAAACCTGGTTGGTTACTATTGTGCGGCTTAATAACCATGTTGCATAAAGTGATATCCCATTCTGGGTATATATTGTATGTCACATCAAGAAGGAGGCGCGGCCTGTAGGCTGGCCACAGGGCATACTTGGCCTTGAGATCTGGCCTTCTGTTGATGTATGCTGGGACCAGCAGGGTTTGACTCAGAGCTTGGGTCCTGCCTCTAGGCCTGGGAGGTGGGGTCAGGGGAGCTCCTGCTTCTGCTGCCCCCTCATGGAGCCTCCCTGCAGCCCCCCTGGACAGAGCTCCCCTCTCCTGCCACCCCCCTGGATCCTCCTTGGAGCCCCCCTGGACAGACACCCCTGCTCTTGCTGCCCCACTGGACCGAGAGCTCCCTGCTCTGCTGTCAACTTCCCTGTCCACTAGCATCGGGAGAGGGAACTGATAAATGGGACCTCTGTCTGTCTGTCTGTCTGGCTGAGTCTCTGCTCCTGTTCTCACCCCCTCCCCCGCTTGTTTAAATTTTAAAAATAAGTAAATAAATAAGTGAAAATAAGGGAGAAATAAATGAGTCTTGGGTGGCACCTATTCCCGGAGTGCCTGAAGTAGGAATTCTCACCAGCAGGAGAGGCATACACACCTGCAGGTGCACAAACCTCCTCCAGGAGCTTAGCTGAGTCACAGTCCATGAGTGTGGAGTGCTGTGTCGGCGGCCGCTGGGACCCCGCCCACTGGAGCAGGGACGTGAAATGTACTCTGAAGCTGACCACTGAACCTGGAGACCTCTCTGCTGAGTTTTTCCTCTATGGTCTGCGGAGACCCTGCTCTTTCAGGGAACTGGGGCGGGCAAAAGTGGGTGAAATAGATCTGACATTGGTGAGAAGGCCCCTATGCCCCTGAGCAGTCATTGACATGGCCCTGCCTGAGGACATGCGTACGTGGGGTGTGCTTGCCTCTTGAGTCGCACAGGTTACAAAGCGTGCTTTGTAAAGCCACAGCTGCTTCCCCGGCAAGTACCTGGCCCATGATTGCATCAGCTCCAGCTGGAGGAACAACAGCGATCTATTGGGGTTCAGTTTTCCAGCTCGCACAAAATGATTGCTTTGCTGGAAGCTTCGGAGCCTGGCCAGAGAGTGCAGAGTCTCCCTGCCGTCTTCCTTCAGCCACGCCTTGCTCCCTGGGCAAGGACTCCACGTGGCTGTGTAAACTCTCCACTGCCAGTCATGCCTCGTCTTCTCCAGGTGTGCCCTTTGTCTGAGGCTGAGCAGGGCCAGCCCGGCTGGCTGAGACCGCACCTGTAGGCCTGGCAGCCTCGTTCCTGGAGTGTGACAGCATAGCGCATCTGTCCTGTGCATACTGTGTCATCTGTGAGGGGAGGTCACCCTTGTGGTCGAGGAGGTGGCTAGGGAGTGTGAGACCTGGAATGGCCAGATGTGAGGCTGGCTGAGGGGCTGGAAGAGTGGGCTAAGAGCCGAGGACTGGGCACTGTCACTTTCCATGCCATCTCATTTTTAGAGTTCATCCAAGAGATCTGGTTTGTTCCATGATGCGTTTTTCGTGGCTAGGGAGAAAAGAAAATATTTATCAATTTCTTTGGATGATGGATAATGTCAAAAAGTTGTACACATGGTATGGGTGTCTGTTGGAATTCTTGCCCCCAGAATAGGTGTATGTCTTGGGATTTCTCCTGATGGATTTAGTTTGAAACCATTTGTCTGCAGGGTGCTTCGGAAAGCTCATGGGGAGCTCCTGTACCGAAAGAGACGAGTCTCCTGATTCTGTTGTCCTTGAGCTTTTTGAAGTACCCTGTTATCTGTCTCTGAGGTCTGCAATATAGAGGAGTTTATTGTGTACCAGGTGCGTTTCTATGTCAAATCCCGTTCAGTTGCGTTCTCCCGGCCCTCCCTGCCATGTTTGAATTTGCTTCATTCCTTTGCAGTTCTTCCTGAGTTTGAAAACAGTCACACAGCCACTGCCCACATTAGCCCAAACCAACGCTCCAAAGGACTTAAGCGGCATAGTATTTCACTCTGTGTTCTGGAAACATTTTTAGGTATATGTTGGCAGACGGAGCAACATGCTGCCATGGTTTTCTCTGTGTCCCCTCATGGCTGTGTTACATGCATGGTTGTATATAATTGAGTACTGGGGTTGCATTTTGAGGAGATGTGCACTAAGAGAGAAAGGGCTATGAGGCTTCAGTGGTCGGAATGCAGGAGCTGATGCTGGGCCAGCCGAGGGCATCACTTGGGGGGGCCACAGGTGGACCGTGCAGTTGGCCTCTGCAGAGCATCTGCCATGCATCAGCTACCGGAGCAGCTTCCCATCCTGTGTGGAAGTGATACAGGACATCTCTTTGGGAAGTGTGCTGTGCATCCCACCAACGACTGGGAAGTACTTGCTGAAAGTGGGAGCGGCAGTTGGGGTTGTGTTGCTCTTTCCGTCTAGGTCGTGTTTCTGTTTGCTGGAGTTGTTCACCACCTTCCGATCTCAGGATTGCCAGCAGAGATCGGGTCTGCTTTGCTGCAAGAGTTACATGGCAAAGCCGTGCTTCCTGCAATTAAAATAATAATAATAATAACGATAGTAACAGTGGTCAGAGGCACACAGCACAGGCTCTGGGTACACGTGTTCTGGTTATCAAGTTGCTGCTCCTGAGCTGACACTTTTAGGACACCTGGCAGCCAGCAGGTGTCCTCTGGAGTCTCTGTGTCGTGCTTCGGTCTTGTGTCCTTGTGACAGCACCCTCATTCACCTTTGACATTGATCACTGAGTGATTGGCTCTTCTTTTTTCTCCCGTTGAGATCGAAGGCAAAGCGCCTAGGACATACTTTATATTCAGTTTAAAAAAAAAAATCAGGAAGATGATCCTTTCTCGTAAGGCCTCTAATGTTTTATCGTGTAAGTTGATATACCATAAATGTTGTGAAAATAGAAGGAGTCTTGTGTGGGGAAAAGCGGCATGATTGTGCAGCACTAAAGCCTGACATTAATTATGACATGGGAAATGGAACGTCTATTAGTCTTAATTATAATTACAGGAGTGCAATTTCAACTGCCGACTATTTAAGATAAAGCACTCAAAATATTATGTTGGCAGTGTGGAAATTTTTATTCAGGGAGCAAGAAAGAAGATCAGACACAATGAGGAAATACGAAATGGAGGGTTAGGAAGTAACGTGGTAGCCCAGTGCGGTGTGAACCTGAGGGTATCACAGTACTAAGCTCAGGGTGCTGCACCTGTTACTGTGGAATCTTCTGCAGTCTGACCCTGCTGTGTTAGGAGCAGGGCACTCACATTTGCTTGGGTGATTGGACTTCTCAGCTGGAACATGACTCTGCCTTTTTTTTTTTGCCATTATTGCTAAGTTGTCATGCAAAAAGGATTAAATGCATGTTGAGTGCTTCATTGGCACTACTTCATGTAATATACCTTATGCAGTGCCCCATTTTCTCAGAGTCGGGGCTCCTTGTCATACCCATAGGTGAGACTTGCATGTTTGCCACAGCCACTGAAGCACTGTTTTCGATATTTGTGCTATCCGTGTGATTAGAGTTGTGTGTGTGTGTTGGTGGCTACTGTGCATTTCTTGGTGGCTCAGGGTGGTTTCCTCGTGGGGACAGTAGACACACAAAAGTAAAATTCGACTTAAGAAAATTTACACAGGAAATGTTCTCATGCTCTGAGGACTTCATTTTACTGTCACGGATTGTTCCTAAGAAACTGTGGGAGAGAAGCACAATGGCTGTTTGGGAGGGAAGAGAGGGAAGAGAAGCTGTGTGAATCCTTGACAGGCAAGAGTGACAAGTTATGGCTGCTGATGAGGGGAATATTGTGGCCAGTAGAAGTCAGGATTTTGGGAGTTATTGAATGAAATCACTCTTCTGAATTTTTAAAAATGTATTTACAAAGTGTAACTTGTGTGAAATAGGATGCAGGACTGAAGAACCCTGGTGTGGCCTTCCCCTGCACTTGGGAGGATTCGGGAAAACACAGCCTACAAGTTGACATGGAGGGGTGATGCCCTGTGGCCTGTGCTATTATTCTAATTAGTGTTAAAGATGTTTCCCAGCCAGGAGTGTGGAGTAGTTTAACGAGAGTTGCAAATGAAGAGGAAGTGAGAATGTCCTGGGCTAGAGGAGGGCTGTGCACCTGCCACAGAGGGGACAAGCCTGTGCACCTTGAGCCTGGGCAGAGGAGAAGGTGGAATCCGGGCAGGAAGACCTGATGGGCTGTGCTGAGGGGAACTGCACATTCTGATCGTGTCTTCAGGGTGTCACTTGCTGTTCTTCTCGCTTTTTGCCAAGTATTTTGTTATCTTTTTGAGAGAACGTTTTTGATTTATAGTCAAGGCTTTTTGCTGTATCAACGAACATGACCATCATTCAGCAGGAAGATCAACAAGAGTTATCGGCCATTATCAAGTGAAACAGGTGTTCAGATTTACCCTTAGACATTGGCAAATGGTCCCAAAGTGAGCTCAAGGCAAATTACCACTATCGTTAGTGCTGCTTTAATTGAAATATTGACATGCAGAGATGTTTCCTAGAAGTCTTCCCCTTCATGGAAGCTTATGCGAATGCCCTTCGTCAGACTCCTGCCTCCTCCCCATGCACTTTACCACTAGGAATTTGAGGCTCATCCAATGGGAAAGTGACTCGCTGCCAGTTACA